AGCCGTTGCCCGGAAGCTCGGTCCGTCCTTCAGGGCCCTGCTGTTTTGCTGTGGCGAGGGCGCCGTTTGTGAGCCTTGACGGCTGGAAGAGAGCTAGTTTTCTTGTAGGTTCAGAAAGCAACGTTAGGCAGTGGGAGCCGTTGCCCGGAGGCTCGGTCCGTCCTTCAGGGCCCTGCTGTTTTGCTCAATGGGAGATATGCCCAGGGGTCGGCGGCAGGGGGCGGAGCCCTTTAATTATTAACGACGATTAATGATGAGTGTTAATGATGTTTAAATGTGTCATCCCCCTGCAAAAATGATCCAATGGATGATTAATGGTGATTGATGATAATTGAATGTGCCAACTCCCAAGAAAATCATCAAGCAATCTCCCCAAAGCCATGGTTAAATACATTTAGAATTTATAAACTATATAAACGCAGGTACCCCAATAACTTGACCAATCATGCGGCTGGCTTTGCTTGAGGTTCCCTAAATGGTGAATCATAATGTTCCCTATCAAAATGGCCATTGTTGGGGTATACCCCATTTTCAGACGGACGCTAATAAAACAAACATATTTCTGATTGTATATTCCCAAAAAAAAACACCGTTACATCCCAATTAAAGAAGTATTGCGCTGTACACGATCTTGCAATGCGCATCTCATTCAAGGCCCAGATTCGAATCTTGCGTGAGTATTTCCAGCAGTTTGACCAAGTTTTCTGGCGTTGCTTTGCTTCCACCTATTCCCACAGGCATGGCTGGAATGGGGGTTCATGGGAAATTCATGCATCAACCATCAACGGATGTTTCGATTTTTTGCTACGAGGGATGTTTCATTGCCGGGTTGGACTACAGGACGTAGGACGAGAAAAGGATGAACCTCATGACATGGAGTTCCGTTTGCCAAAGCGGCAAGAGTCTACAAGAAGAACTGCTGCAGTTGGCACCTAGCCTAGGCACCTAGGAAGTCACTGGTCATATTTCACATAGTATTTCAGTAGCACTGGCATGCACTGGCACTGGCTACTGTATGAAGACTTTTTGAGATATTCAAAATAATCGTCCTATTATATAGATCTTTAGAATACTTTCAATACTTTAATTGCTGCTGTGAATTCCGACATCTTCCGGCCTTGAGGGTCAATCATCTGCATCGTCTTCCTTGGTACACTGACTGAGACACCTGCCCAACATGCTGAAAGTTCATCCAAGCAAGATTGAAAATCCGCCCTCAAATCGTATCGTCCAACTCTACATGCAATTGTTAAGCAAAATAGGCAATCAAAGAAATCATAATAAAATGTACATGAGCCAAGTCGGTTCTGGATCGCGAGGCCATGGCCGCAGGTGCTGGTAAGGTGGCAAGCAAAGCTCTAATCAGCCCAGCAGCGCCAAGTCAGCGAACTTCGCACACAGCCCTTTGATGTTCTCTGGAGAACAAAACATCTTGACCTGGGCAAAACGGTCAAAATGATGCAAAATGATCGGCGGAAATGGATGGCTGAATAGGGTGTGTGGTATAGATATTAATATATTTTAATATTATATATGCACCGGCGAGGTTCCACTAGAGCTAAAAAAACAGCCCTTTCTGGGTCCATTGGGCCCCGAATGTTTGATCCATCCGGATCCCCACCTTTTCCTTGGCAGCGGGGTTCATGTTCTTGTCCAGCAAGGGCTCGATGTCAGCCCACCTCAATGGCGTGTGGGCCAGGACCCTCCACGAGAGATGGGCTGGACCAGGTGCCCCCACGACCATGAAATACCTGAAACATCTGGAACCTGCAAGGTTCCACACCAAGGAGGGTGAAAGAAGAAACATTCACCTCATGAGCCCAACAAGCCCAAGAGCAAGGGCACAAACCTCCGGAGTTGGTCCTAAATATCTCCTTACTTGAGAGGCACCGATCGAGCCTCTGCAGCATGCACTCTTTCAATGAGCCTTCAAAGAGTCAGGAAGTGAATCTTTCCATTGAATCTCCCACGAGGCAGCAGTAAAAACTGTGTGAGATGCAATGAACCTACAATGGAGCACTAGCTTTATGGAGTCTAAATATGAAGAATATGAAGAACTAAGAAGATCTATGTAAGAAGTCATCAAACCCAAAATGAATCCCCCTGTGCGAGCAAAGCGCCTATCAAACACGGACTATCCGTGGCCCCTTTGTGGCGATCTGCGGATTCATGGACATTCTTAACCCGTTCTGAAATCATCTCTCCTTGCTAGCGCCATTCCCAGAATTCCGGTCCTGTTGGACACAAGTGAAAGACTTCCAAGACCCTGGCAAGGTGCGAGGTGCTTGCATCATGCTACTGCAGGTGCTCGAACTGGGTGTGTTCAAAACTATGGTATGCCGAAATCCGTTGGTTTGTCACAAAACTTTCATCAAAATAGCCATTTGGGTGGTATACCCCATTTCCAGACACACCAAACTAGCTTGTCAGAGCCATCTGGAATGGATGGTTTCCGGCTACATTGCCCTCATGGCCATGTTCTTCCCCAAGGTTCCCCCAAGGCCTCCGCATCGTCATCCTCATCAAAGTCCCCACCCTCGGCAGCTCTGCGGAGTTGGAGCATGGCATGAAATGCCCGTCACTTCACAAAAGCCTTGTCACTGTGTCACTCTCGTGCAGGCGGCGTGCAGGCGGCAGTGAGGTGAGGCTGAAAAGTTCTGTCTTCTATTTTTTTGCTAAAATCAGCCAAAATCATCATGAGCTTCTTCAACGAGAATTCTCGCAAGATCATTTGATCATCAGTTTCCATTTTTTTCAAGGTGATGAAAGGTGACACACACTTCATTTCCATTTCACACACCCTGGATGGCCTCCAGGAAGGCGTTGACGGCTTTGGTGACGTCACGCTCAAAATCCTCATCGACCAACTCCTGCGTTTGCGAAAGTCCCTGCGTTCATTCGCTGGTTTCAAAATTTGTCCCAGTTTTTCCCGACTTTTCCCTTCCTTTCTTCAAGAAATGTTCCTCCGCTCTTTCAGAAACGATAAACAATAATAAACGTGTGGAATTGAAGGACGTTCGCTAAGGCGAACAACATGCTTAAGTGAATTGACGGCACCTGCTTCGACATGTTCTCGTCAAACGGTTCCTATTGTGCGGGGTCAATGACAGTGGAACTTCAAGCATGAAGAAAATGGAAAGCACTGACGGGCCTGAGTATCAATAAAGATTTCACAAGTTTGTTAACATCGAGAACTGACATCATGTTTTCTTCTATGCAAAGACCAACAAAAACTGGTCCTGAAAAACATAAATAAAAGCCAACAAACTCCGAAATTGCATCGGGATCAAAACTGCCAGCGACTGAGACATGATAATGAAATTTGTTCGTTTCAAATCACCGTCGACATTGAAAAACTGTCTGTTCCCGTCAGCCAACCCAACTGTGCCACTTTTTAAAACAGCAATCACAACGACAGCAACAACGACAACGACGACGACCACAACAACAACAACAACAACAACAACAACAACAACAACAACAACAACAACAACCACGACAACAACAACAACAACTACTACTACTACTACTACTACTAGTACTACTACTAGTACTACTACTACTACTACTACTACTCCTACTCCTACTCCTACTCCTACTCCTACTCCTGCTCCTACTCCTACTACAACTACTACAACTACTACAACTACTACAACTACTACAACTACTACAACTACTACTACAACTACAATTACAACTACAACTACAACTACAACTACTACTCCTACTCCTACTCCTACTCCTCCTACTACTACTACTACTGCTGCTGCTGCTGCTACTGCTACTGCTACTGCTACTCCTACTACTACCACTACTACTACTGCTGCTGCTGCTGCTACTGCTACTGCTACTGCTACTGCTACTCCTACTACTACCACTACTACTACTACTACTACTACTACTACTACTCCTACTCCTACTCCTACTCCTACTCCTACTCCTACTCCTACTACTCCTACTACTCCTACTACTCCTACTACTCCTACTACTACTACTACTACTCCTACTACTACTCCTACTCCTACTCCTACTCCTACTCCTACTCCTACTCCTACTCCTACTCCTACTACTACTACTACTACTACTACTTCTACTACTACTACTACTACGACTACTACGACTACTACGACTACTACGACTACTACGACTACTACGACTACTACTACTACTACTCCTACTACTCCTACTACTCCTACTACTCCTATACCTACTACTCCTACTACTCCTACTACTCCTACTACTCCTACTACTCCTACTACTCCTACTACTCCTACTACTCCTACTCCTCCTACTCCTCCTACTCCTACTACTACTACTACTCCTCCTCCTACTCCTACTCCTACTCCTACTCCTACTCCTACTCCTGCTCCTCCTACTACTCCTACTCCTACTCCTACTCCTGGTTCTGTTTTTGCTCCTGCTCCTGCTCCTGCTCCTGCTCCTACTCCTACTCCTACTCCTACTCCTACTCCTACTCCTCCTCCTCCTCCTACTCCTACTCCTACTCCTACTCCTACTCCTACTCCTCCTCCTCCTATTCCTACTCCTACTCCTACTCCTACTCCTACTCCTACTCCTACTACTACTACTACTACTACTACTACTACTACTACCCACAGGACGAGGGTGAGCGGAGCTAGCAACCCATTGGTTCAATTATCCCAGTGCCCGGGGATTTCCTTGTCATAACATTTCCTTGTCATAATCTCCTGGCCCCATGGAACATATACGCATACTTCTATTAGGGGGTTCATTTAGGGTTTACATAAGTTATAAAATCGCCGGGCCCCATGGAACATATACGCATACTTCTATTAGGGGTTTCATGAGGGCTTACATAAATTATAAAATTCCCCGGCCCCATGGAACACATACGCATACTTCTATTAGGGGGTTCATTTAAGGTTTACATGAGTTGTCAAATCCCCCGGCCCCATGAAACATATACGCATACTTCTATTAGGGGTTTCATTAGGGTTTACATAAGTTATAAAATCACCCGGCCTCATGGAACATATACGCATACTTCTATTAGGGGTTTCATTTAGGGTTTACAGAAGTTATAAGATGTTATAAGATCCGGAGTCGCCAAAAAGTGGAAAAGATTGAAACAGTGGAAATGGCCGAAACGCGTCAAGTCCGCAGAGGGTTCACTTTTCTGACTGATTTTCCAAAAATTCGTCTTAGACCACGCTAGCTCACAGATGTACCAGAGTCATAAAACACTGCGCCTGCGCAGAGAAATGAGCTTCCCACTGACGTTCATACGACCATTCCGGGACAACCCTCAGTCCTGCCCGTACTACTACTACTACTACTCCTACTACTACTACTCCTCCTACTACTACTACTCCTACTACTACTACTACTCCTCCTACTACTACTACTCCTACTACTACTACTACTACTCCTACTACTACTACTACTACTACTCCTACTCCTACTCCTACTCCTACTCCTACTACTACTACTACTACTACTACTCCTACTCCTACTCCTACTCCTACTCCTACTCCTACTCCTACTCCTACTCCTACTCCTACTACTACTACTACTACTACTACTACTACTACTACTCTTCCTACTACTACTACTACTACTACTACTACTCCTACTCCTACTCCTACTCCTACTCCTACTCCTACTCCTACTACTACTACTACTACTACTACTACTACTACTACTGCTACCAACAAAAATAATAATATTATTAAAATACTACAACAACTACAACAACTACAACCGTCACAACGATGACAACAGCAACGGCAACAGCAACAGCAACTGCAGCAACAACAGCCATTCACTTAGCATGGATCTCCCAGCCAACACTTCCAGCCATGTTGGTGACTGGCCTGGAGTGCAAGGCAACGCATCTGCCCCGGCACGGGAGCCGTCGACCTGGAAGGCCCATCGGAAATTGGTTAAGAGTTCCACAGCAGCAATGGCATCATTCTAAAAACTAACTATTTGAACCATTTGGGGGACTGCAGTGTCTTGATGGTTCCAGTGTGAAATGGGTGTTCACCAAGTAAAATGAGATTTTGGGCCTTCACAAACTATAACATCCAGTTTTTCTGTGTTGACACTATTTTGACACTTTTTTGTTGTGGTCATTATGGTCATTTGGGTTCGTCTGTCTTATTTTTGGTTGTTATTTTTGCGTCTGCCTTTGTCGTTTATTGAGTTATTCCTTGTCATTTGTTTAGCGTGCTTTGGCGTCTTGTCTCTTGTTGGTTTGTTTTGTTGTTTGTCATTTTTTTCTGGTTTTCTTTGTCATGTTCCTTTGTGAAGTTTCTGAAGGGTCTGTGTCAGGGGCTGTGTCCAACAATTGTTTCCCCGCAGCTATGCAGTCATTGTTTGTCATTTGTTTACAGTTTCTTATTTTTTGTCCGTAGTTTGTTTTGGTTTGTCAGTGTTTCCCATGTTCCTCTCAAACTGGTTTGTTCCGACCAAAAAACAGGGGAAAACACGAGTGGCAAAAAACAACAAAACGGAATTGCAAAATATTGCCAAAAACATGAAACAGTTTGCCACCCTCAATCTGTGTTGGTGCGAGTTTCACAGGTCTACTGTCTACTGTCAAACTCATGGCACTGGAGTGGTCAGTTGTCCCTTGCCTGTTGATTTTCCAAATCCCATGTATGAAGGAAATCTTCAAGTCAAGGGTACCCGTCAAAATCATACCCTCAATTCAGATGGTCTTATATTCAAACCAACCCATGTTTTGTGCGCATTGGGCCC